GCACACACATACATGCACACACATACATGCACACACACACACACACACACACACACACACACACACGATTATGTACACATCTTCTGGTACCCAAGAAGATGTTATCTACCATGTTATCTAGCATGGCAAAAGGGACTTTGCAGATTCAATTAAGGTTAAACACCTTGTGATGGGAGATCTCTTCGAACATTCAGTTGGTCTTCATCTAACTCCATGGGTTAAAGCAGAGTGTGTTCAGAGAGAACTGTGATACGGAGTCAGAGAGATATGACTAGGACGGCCTCACAGCTAAAGAGAGACTATATATAAGCCAAGGAATTTGACAGCTTACAGAAGCGGAAAATGCAAAGCAATGAGCTATTTTCCACAGACACTAAAAAGAATGCAGTCCTGCCTACCCATCTTGTCCCAGTGAGGCCCACGTGTCAGATCTGACCTCAAGTACACTATACATGAATACGTGTGCTAGATTTGTGGGGGTCCGTTACAAAGACAATGGAACCTATACGTTTTATGCTGGAGCTCTAACTCCATCACTAGGGAGATTGCAGAAGTATTAGTTCCTTGTGGTTATGCGTGGAGTCTGGAGTCTGGCGGATCTGGGCTGGAATCCAGACATAGCCGCATGCCACTTGTGCAGTTTTGGACAACTTCCGTCACCCATGTGAGCCTGTTTTATTTGCAAACGGGAAATAAGAGGAGGTTTGCTCTGAAGATCAGATAACATACACTAAACATTTAGCTGAGTGTATAGATACATAGTACATGTTCAAGAAAGGATTGCTTCGGCACTGTTGTGTGCAGCGACAGTGATTGTGACAGGGTTTTCTCTGAGTTCCATGGGTCTTACTGCCCTCTCTTTTGACTCTTAAAGGATCCAGGAAGCTACCTGCGAATCAGCCCTTGGGGTTTCACAACCTCCTCCTTGTGGGGGTGGGCTTGACCCCCTTTATGAGGGGCCCTTTTAGCCTAGACATTGGCAGGCAATGCAAGGGCTGGGACTCTGTCCTGTGTCTTGGGAGTGATGTCTCCATGACTGCCCAGGCTAGTGACTGCTCCATGAGTAGGCAGTGTCAGCAAGGGGCTGGTGCTGTGCTTTCTCCCTTTCTGGAGTGGGACTCTTCACTCCTTGCCCCAAGGGCATTTCAAGGGCACAGTTGGACTCTGGCAGGCTTCTGTGTGTCTCCTCAAAAGTGTAAACTTCCAGAGCGGTGGAGGCCTTCAGGTCCCTCTGAAGTCTGCATTTGTGAGCGCCCTGCTCTTTGAGCTAGGCCTTTTTACTGCTGGGTAGATCTGCTGAGCAGAAACTTTCCCTCCCAGCCTGGAAGCCCGCCATGTCCTGCCCTCTGGGGCCACCACCAGTGAGCCTGCCTCTGGGAGGCAGAGGTGGGGACTCTGTTCCAGCTCTGCTAACTCCTTCCTGGGTGGCCCCAGGATTGTGAGTCTTTTTGAACTCTGTTTTCACAATGTTTGCAAAGAAACAAAACACCTATGAGGATCAGTGTGGAAAGTGTCCTAGCTTCCATAGCTAATGTGTTGTGAATTACACACCCCTCCCACACCCCCTCCCCGCCATACCTTCTCGGTTCCTTACCTGTTCCTCGGGAGCAGAGCGGGTTGCACCCCCCTCCCTGCTGCTCCAGGGGGTGCAGAACACAGACCTGGGCCCAGCCTCTGGGGTTAGGCTGGCCTTAGTTGTCTGGAATCTTTTCTGCTGCAGGCCAGCCTTCACTTTAGCTCCTCCCTGGGGCTGGCCACCCTCCCCACTTCCCACCACACACAAACCCCACAGGCACTAATGCTCTTGCCGGGCACAGAAATATCATTGTATTTTTAGCTCTGGCCCCACTCCATCCCACGAGCACCCCTCTTGGCATGAACTTGGCCACTTCTTCAAGTTCTTGTCGCCAACCCTTGAGCCACAGGAATGTGCCCACCCCACAACATTTACACGGCTCTACCCACATCTCTCCTGCCACCCTTTTGCCTCTGTGACTTGAGCGATCGGCTTGTACACACCTCTCTCCTGCTCCCGTCACACACATGCATGCACAAGTACCCGTACACACATCTGGAAACTCTGGAATGTTTTCTGTCTCCTCTTGTCTCTATCCTTTGCCCTTCTTTCTGGCAGAGAAACTGCCGCAGGACTAAGAGCCCAAAGCGGACAAGGATAGAGAGAGGGAGACATGTTTGCTTCCTGTCCTTCTAGGACAGTTGGTTGGAGGTGTGCTCTCAAGTGTACACACACACACACACACACACACACACACACACACACACACACCCATGACATGTATGGTGCACATACATGATCTCTGTCCTGTCTATGGCATGAAGTTAGGTGATTCACCTAAAGATGCCTGCAGTTTCCTTTTCAGCTTCAATTTAAAGAGGAACAGTCAAATTGAGGACCCCCACCCCCCAATCTAGTCTTGGTAGAGAAAATGGTTCTTTGTTTTGTTTTGTTTTGAGACAGGGTTTCTTTGTGTAACAGCTCTGGCTGTCTCAGAACTTACTTTGTAGGCCAGGCTGGCCTTGGAGATCCATCCTCCTGCCTTTGCCTCCTGAGTTCTGGGATGAGTGGTGGGATTAAAGGCACGCCACCAACTGGCTTAGGAAATGGCTCTAAAAGGTGAGAACTGCATTTCTCCACACTTAGCTTCCTCTAAGTCAACTCTGTTCTGAGTGTCTTTTTTTAAAAGAGAGAGAGAGAGAGAGAGAGAGAGAGAGAGAGAGAGAGAGCAGGTGTTTATATCATGGCAGGCACGTAGACACCAGAGAACAACCTTGTAGCTCCTTGTGTCCACCTTGCTTGAGACAAGGTCTTTTGTTGTCTGCTGCCATGTAAGCCAGGTTGGCTCTCCAGCGAATTTTCAGATTCTTCTGCCTCTACCCTCGTCTCACTGTAGACATGTGGGAGATTAGAGATGCCTGCTACTGTCCTTGGCCTTATGTGGGTCCCTGACACCAGGACTCAGTTCCTCACACGGGGGGCATCAAGTGTCTTCTTAGCTCAGGTGTCTTTAATGTGGATCCCACTCTCTGCAGAGTGCTTCCTGGGGACTGGTCCTGGGATAAGGCACGAGGAACCCGATTCTCATTCTTCTGAACCCAGGGCCTGAAGCATGCCAGGCAGGCTCCTCATCCTTCTTATTCTCCTTTCCTCAGGGCGACACCTTAGGGTCTATGATGCTGTCGTCCATTTGCTTCCTTGCCCCTTCCCTAACACACCCTGGACTCTTTATCTCCTCTCAGGTCTGGCGTGTGCTGCTGCCTCAGTCAGGCTCTTTCTCTCCCAGTATCTACATGGCTGGTTCTCTCCCTTCTTGGGCCCTCTGCTCAGCCCAGAACTCCCAAGGCATTTCCTTCTTCTTTGATCCCCAAATCACTCTTGCTGTCACCTGTCACACAGTACATTTCTTTTTTTTTTTTTTTGGTCTAGTTACATTTATTTATTTATTTATTTATTTATTTATTTATTTATTTAATTTGGAAACAATCCTATTTTACATATCAATCCCAGTTCCTTCTCCCTCCCAACCTTCCATGCTCCCCACCAGCCCCGCCACCCCACCCCCCTCTACTCCCCAGGGAGGATGAGGCCTTCCATGGGGGAATCATCAAAGCCTATCACATCACTTGGGGAAGGGACTAGGCCGTCCTCAGGGTATCTGGGCTGAGAGAGTATCCCTCCACAGGGAATGGGCTCCCAACATCAGTACATTTCATTTTGATTTTATTTTTTCCCTGTTGTGCATATCCTTCCACTTTCATAAAAGCTTCCCAGGGCAGAGGCTATGCTTTTTCTCCAGGGCTGAGAAGCAGGCCCAAACCACAGCGTTAGTTCCTATTTGAGGAACATAGGAAGTGGTGTCAAGTAAGCCTGGGAGGGCTTCCCGAGGAAACTTCCCAGCCCAGGCAGTTTGGGCCCTGGTAGGCGGGTACACAGGCGCTTGGTGTCCCTCGGAGTCAGGACACACTGAAGCCTCAGGGCCAGCGGCCCTGGGAGCTTGCCTAAAGGCTGCACTGGTGTGTCCACCAGCAGTTCCCGCCCTTCTCTTCCTGAGTGATGAGCTAGCTGGGCTGGAAAAATGTGCCAGGGAAATGACCCCTGCTAGCAGGGCCAAGATGTGGAGGTGGTGTTGTTAATGTTCAACAAACAAAAACTTACTCACAGACCCTTCCTTACATTGTCCATCAGTGTCGCTGCTGGGATCCAGCTGTGCCCCTGTATTCACAGTTGGGGTCCTAACCCACAGTGCCTCAGACTATGAACTCAGCTGGAAATCAGGCTGTTGCAGATGCAACTGGTTGTTAAGATGTGGTCACAACAGAGTGGGTTGGGTTCTAGTCTCACATGTTTGCTGTCCTTACAGAAAGATGCCACGTGCACACAGACATTGAAATTCCTGAGAGAAGACAGCCAGCCACAGAAGAAGAAGAAGTACTGGACAATTCCAGTTAAGTGGGACCTAGAAGAGCCAAATGACAGAAAATAACAGTAGTTACCAGGGACTGGGGACTCCACGGGGCACAGGGAGCCAATGTTCTGTGGACAGATACGGAGTTCTAGGTTGGGATGACTAAAAATTCTGGAACAGGGTAGTGAAACTTAATGTTGTTATGCTGTATAGTTAAAAATGGTTAAAATGCATTTTTTATTTGTTTATTTATTTTTCATGACAGGGCATCTTTGTGTAGCTTTGGCTGTCCTGGAACTAGTTCAGTAGACTGAACTTGAGCTCACAAACATTTGCTTGCCTATCTCTGCCTCCCAAGTGTTGGGATTAAAGGTATATACCACCAACACTGAGCTTTAAAATGATTTTTAAGACATTTATTTTTACTTCCTTCTCCTTCTTCTTCATGTCAGGGTTTCTCTGTATCCTTTGCTGTCCTGGAATTCACTATGTAGACCAGACTGACCTAGAGCTCACAGAGATCTGCCTGCCTCTGCTTCCTGAGCGCTGGGATTAAAGGCGTGTACCACCATGGCCTGGCTTTTTCTTTTAAAGGGAGAAAAAAGTTTATACAGTTGCAGTCCTTCATGGCAGAGAGGTACTGGTGGTAGAAGCTTGAGGTGGGTTGTCACATTGCAGCCACGCACTGGAAGCCAAATGACACGAAGATAACATTCTCCTTTTTATCTTATTTACTTTGTTTTTGAGATGGTCTCAAAACGCAGCCCTATGCTGGGCGTTGGTGGCACACGCCTTTAATCCCAGCACTCGGGAGGCAGAGGCAGGTGGATCTCTGTGAGTTCGAGGTCAGCCTGGTCTCCAGAGCGAGTGCCAGGATAGGCTCCAAAGCTACACAGAGAAACCTGTCTCGAAAAACAAAAACAAACAAACAAACAAACAAAACCAAAAAAACAACAACAAAAAAACCCGCAGCCCTAGCTGGGCCTGAATACATGATCCTCTTGCCTCAGCTTCCAGTGTACCCTGAGCCCCTCTCTATGTCTGCTTTATATCGTTCATAAATGTACTAATGTGTTGATAAGGAGACAGCACATGGGGAGATGATGTACAAACTTGGAGAAAGTTCGTGACAAGACACTGAGATGACCTGCAAAGAGTCAGGAACCGGGGAGGAGGAGACTGGCCCCATCCCCATCACAACCCACAGGAGATTCAACCCGCCCAGGTCCCAACAACGCCTCTGCCCACACCAACTGTGCTCACACCACTCTGTCCACACCACTCTCTGTTCACACACTCTCTGTTCACACCTCACACCACTCTGTCCACACACCACTCTGTCCACACCACTCTCTGTTCACACACTCTCTGTTCACACCACTCTCTGTCCACACCACTCTCTGTCCACACCACTCTGTCCACACCACTCTCTGTTCACACCACTCTCTGTTCACACACTCTCTGTTCACACCACTCTGTCCACACCACTCTCTGTCCACACCACTCTCTGCCCACACCACTCTCTGCCCACACCAACTGTGCTCACACCACTCTGTCCACACCACTCTCTGTTCACACCACTCTCTGTCCACACCACTCTCTGTCCACACCACTCTCTGTCCACACCACTCTCTGTCCACACCACTCTCTGTCCACACCACTCTCTGTCCACACCACTCTCTGTCCACACCACTCTCTGTCCACACCACTCTCTGTCCACACCACTCTGTCCACACCACTCTCTGTCCACACCACTCTCTGTCCACACCACTCTATTCACACCACCCTGTCCACACCACCCTCTGCCCACACCCCTTTCTGCCCACACACTCAAGAATCCCAAGACAGCACAATTTCTTTAAAGAACCCAGTCTGTGGTGCTTTGGTACCATAGCCCCAGAAAGACGCAATGCCTCTCTGTGTCGGGAACCCCTGTGCAGCCCCCTGGCTTCTGGAGCAGCGAAGAAGAGCTGGCTTCTAAGGGCCGTCTCTGCGGCAGGTATTCCATCCCTCCATCTGTTCTTTGCTGTTCCTGCCTCCTTTGCCTTCTCACTTCCCTGCTGTCCTGTCTGTCACACGGGAGATGACTTGGTCAACAGGAAGCCAGGGATCTTTGGAGCTTGTTCAATACCCTATCCTCAGGCCTGGTTGCTCTCCCCCCCCATACAGATTTGTAAAAGACTGAGCGTATGCAGGAGGGAATGAGTCACTTCCCCTGATCTCTATCAGAGTTGCTTCCACAGAATGCCTGTGTGTACAGAATACGCAGGGACAGTAGAGCCTCCAAGTGCCGTGGTGACAGCTAGTCAGAGCAGAGCTCTGGGGCCTCTCTAGACTGAGGTGAAAACTACTACAGAAGTCTGGCTGGGGCTGTGAGATGTAGAGAAAGCCCTTCTCGCAGGACCACTGAACACAAGCTTGGCCCTGGTTCCAGTATTAGACAGTTAAAGGAAAAGGCTTCCCTATCATCCGAGGCAGAACCTGAAAGTGGGTAGAGATAGGAAAGGCAGAGTGCAGTCAATGATAGGCTCATTTCCAGACCTCAGGCGCTCACAGTCGACAGGGAAGCAGAGGAGACAAGGCCTGGATGCTCTCATGGAGCCTCTAGAGGCAGTTGTGGGGACACAGGAGACGCTTGGAAAAGGCTGCACGAAGGAGGTGCCAGCTGAGAAAAGCCTTGACCGAGGACAGGGAGGGTGGAGAATGGAGGAAGGACAAAAGTGATGGGTTGTGAAAGGGCTGTGTGGGTCTGGGGTAGCTGAGGCCTGGGGTAGTGGTGAGGGTGGGGGTGGGGGTGGGGAAGACAGCTAGAGAGGGACCATAAGGTTGGCAAATGAAGGACTTGGTATATTTCTCCTGCCTCAGCTGTTGTGATAGCTTCCTGGGGGGTGGATTTGAACAAGAATCTCTTCACCTCAGGGCACAAACAATGACCAAAGAAACCATTCTACTTTCAAAGCCCTTGGGGGCATTGGTGGCTTTTTTGAGGTTACTTACAGGAGCATCCCAGGAGCTCATGGGCAGCCGATTCACTGAAGAGCCCACTGGGGGATGAATGGCAGCTCACACAAGGCACACACTGGAGCTTGTGGACTAAGTTTCTAAGCTGCCTTAAGTGTTATTATTTGGCTACACAGGGTTTCTCTGTGTAGCCCAGGTTGTCCTGGAACTTACTCTGTAGACCAGGCTGGCCTCCAACTCCCAGAGATCCACCTGCCTCTGCCTTCTGAGTGCTGGGATTAAAGGTGTGCATCACCACACCCAGCTAGCTTCCTGATTTTTATAATTTTTTAAGACCTGTTTTGCTAATCCTTTGACTCCTGGAGGGAATATTTCAATGAAGAGGAAGCAGCCACATGATACCAGACGTCAGCCTTGACTCTCATTAGGATTGAATCTAAATTTGCCCCTTCAAGGCTTGACAGGTTTTTGAGAGGTGACTGGATAAAGCCATCAGTGAATTGATGGGTTAATAGCCAAATGGTCTATTTGGAAGTAAGCCTGGCCAGAGGAAGTAGGTCATTGGGTTGTGGTGGGGTGTGTGTGCCTTTGTAGGGTGTAGCTTGTTCTCAGTACTCATGTTATACATCTCACAACTGTCTGGAACTCGAGCTCCCAACCCCCTTCTGACTGTCATGAGTACCTGCTTTCACACTTGCAGAGGACCTCCCCAAACACATAATTTTAAAAAATGTAAATAGAACCCCCAAACATAATGATGGTTATAAATTAAGACTGTGTAAAGAAAAATTTTAAGCAGGAATCTAATGGTTTTGTTCCTCAGTTATTTGGGGGAAGTTTAGGGGCAGATTGAATTTTGTTGCGTTGTAACATAAAATGACACACAGTCACACAAAAACTGTGAATACAAACACGGCACAATTATATTCATGGGATAAAAAGGTTTTATTTCTTGAGTCTTTAGAGGGAAGAAGGCTAGTGACTGGGGACTGTGTAAGGTTGCAACGCATGCACAAAACTTCTCAGGCCAGCATCCAGCACACCAGACCTATTGAGCGAGCTCCCTTGTTACATGGGATGAAAATGCCCTCAAAACACAAAGGAGAATCTGTGTTACACCAATCGATGGTAGGCAGGTTGACATGACTCTTCTGTGAGCGGCTGGTGGTCAGCACTGGTATCATTCACCACCCAAAGGTGTGGCCCCTGAAGGCTGCTTGGATCTGGTTAGCCAAAGGTCCAGGAGTGAAGCAGCCAAGCACGGCTGCTGGCCAGAGGGGGCGGCTCTGACATCAGCAGGAGTCTCAGTAACAATGGCTTGAGCTGCTAACAGCAGTGTCTCAGGTTTTCTTTGGATTTACGATGCCCATGACATCACTTTGCCTTTTGTAGATGACTCTGTCTGGAAGTCAAGGTTGGTGCCATCTGGCCTGCGTAGGTTTTTGCTGCAAGGGATCTGAGAACATCCTTTTTCTTAATTTTCAGGACATCAAGGACTCCAGACATTGTGTGTGGTTTTTTTTTTTTTTTTTTGCGTTATGATAGGAATCAGGAATCAGGAACAATGTTGTTCCTTGGGCAGTGGAGAGCCGTCTTTTGATTTCCTCTGTCTGGTTTATTGGGAATGCTCAGTCCTGTAATGTGGTCTCTTGCTTCAGGCCCTGGTTGTTCACCATCTAGAAGGCAATGTCCCAGTAGCTGACTCTGAGGCCTGAGTTTCCTGTGTTATTGAAAGTTCATGGGTTAACACAGTCATTTGGGTCATTAAAGTTTAGGATTACTTGTTCAGCAAACAGAGGGACAGCTTGGCATGTTGAAAGTTGTACCCATTCGGGAAAGTGGCAGGAAGACAAGAGTCTATTGTGGTGTGGGGGCTGAGTGATGTGGAATTTGAAGTTTTTGGAAATCCCCATAAGAGAAGAGGAAATCAAGACAGGAGACAGATTTAGATACTCGCAGCCATTCTAACTGCCCAGTGATGCCCTTGGGTCTTCAGAGAAGCATCTTCACCTTTACTTACATGACTGAATCTCTAGGATTGGAGAAGAAACATGGATTCTAATTGTCCCCGAGCAGGGAATGCTGCAGCATGGGTGGAAGAGTGACTGGAAACTGGACTCCTCATATGTCCCACAAGACTTCATTTTTGTTTTTTTTTTTTATGTGGTCCCCTATTCATGCATAAATAATTATTGTGATTTCTTTCTTATGTTAATCTTGAGGTAGCTTTTCCCAGTCCCTACTCTGAAAGC